AAAACAATAGGAATAACTCTGGTTGTAATGTGAACGGAAAGTACAAGGGACTTCTGAAGTCAATATAAAAACTAAAACTAACAAGAATGAAATAGAATATTAACTCATGCAGTGATAGAATATACAAGAGGAAAATTTTCCAAGCTTATTTGCAAGGCCTGTGGGAATGTGTATTTGAAAGACACTTTAAGGTTAGCTATTTAGTATTACGGTTTAATAATTTTTTTTTCTTCTTGTAAGTGAGAGGTTTTAGGCTCAATTCTCGCCAAATGTGAATTTGAACCACATTATTGATTGCCCATTGTGAGGTTTAATCCACTCTCCACCCCTTATTATAGATAATATCATTTGTTAAAAAAAAAAACAGACAAATAAGGTTCTTTACTTTCTTCTTCTGATGCTAACATATATACTTAGTTATTACGTGCATGAATAATTGACAAAAACAATTTGCATGAATAATTGACAAAAACAATTTTTATTGACCAAAGTAATTTATATATGTGTTTGGACCCGATTTTACATCATCGGCCCAAGCGATCGAGGCCGTTGAGTGGGCATGATTCTCGACCGCCAGATGAGAAGGTGGAGATAATTTGATTATTAAAGGATAATATTATAATTATCTTTTAATATGAATTATCTCGGTAGCTTCTTAAATATATATATATATATATATATATAAGATTATATAATAGGCAACCAAACCGAATTGCTCTAACCCACACGGTACACTGCTAACAAATTCAAATTACATCGGACTGTTCCACCTGTCTCTCCGTTGGGATATAATTCTATCTTATTTATCTGGTTTAAGAAGCTACCGAGATAATTCATATTAAAAGATAATTATAATATTATCCTTTAATAATCAAATTATCTTCACCTTTTCATCTGGCGGTCGAGAATCATGCCCACTCAACGGCCTCGATCGCTTGGGCCAATGATGTAAAATCGGGTCCAAACATTGCCCCCCAGTTTCCTTAAGCTTCGGCTTGTAAGCCGAATGGTTAAGGAAATTAACTGTTCGTAGCCAACAACATTTCTTCGTATTGCCGAAGAAGAAACTTTGTTCCTCGGCAATAACATGTATGTTCTGCCAACGCTGCGGCTTTCCTCGACTACCACAACTCCGTACTAGGCTCGGCAACTTTGCCAGCAGGTCGAGAAAATTGGGGTCGAGAAGAATTTTCCTGGCAGCTCGGCCAGCCTATATATATATATATATATATATATATATATATATATATATATACTGATCAAAGGCCGAAGCTCATTAAATATCCTGAATCTTGGATTTGACAACCCAACTTCCACTATTAAAACTCATGGCCGAGTCTTACATATATAAACTATATATATTTGTCTTTCCAATGGTATTCTGACAATTCCCCATCAGCCACATCCATAGGCTAAAGCCTATATCTAATTAATTATCTACTTTTGTTGAATAAGTCTGCCATCACTAAGAAAAACTTCGCATGCACGTATCCAATTTCGCCGAGCTCGGCAAACAAATTACCTCGGCCTAAACAGCCGATTTCCTGAATCTGCCTCGGCCTTGACGACCGAAATCTATTCCTTTTAGTGCCGGCGTTTCTGAGATTTGAACAGTGCGGTATAGACGCCTTTTGAAGAGTGATATGTATACCAACGTTGATCTCTAGGTTCGGGAGGTTTGAAAGTTTTTTGGCTCCGAGATGATTCCAAGTTGCTAGAGTTACGTATATAGTAGTCCTCGTCATAAAATGGAGCATCAAAATCAAGGCGCCGCTTGACCGAGGGTGTTTCTTCCATCCTTACTTTAGGACCGAGCCTATCAAAAACCCATTGATGATGGCCTACGTTGGCTCCCTTTTGCTGGGTTGCGGCCGTAGGTCATTCCGTTATAAGCAAAGAGGGCTTATCCTCTGGCTCACTGTTGACCTTTGCTCTACATTTACTGCATAAAACCGCCGTCCCACCATCTTCATCGTTGCTGTAATCCATCATAGGTTTGACAATAGCAGGTCCCGTTAAAGCTGTAGGTGGTTCGTTTGAACGAAAATCGGCCATGAAACGTGGTCGAGAATTCTGATTCCGAAAGCGTTGCGTCGCAACAACTTCGGCCTTCCCTTTCCCTTTGTCCTTAGGTAGGCACGCATCGACCATATTTACTGTTGCCGTGGGGAACGGGTCAGTATCAACGCTCATCTTCTTCTCTGGAAATTTCAGTTTGCCACTATCAATCCAGCTTTGGACGTTGTCTCGAAACACGACGCAATTATTTGTCGTATGTTTGCTTGAATTGTGGTATTTGCAATATATCTTTCCTTTAAGCTCCTCGGCCTTGGGAATGTTGTGCCCAGGCCGAAGTTTGACGATCCTCGCTGATAACAGTTGGTCAAAAATTGCATCGGCTTTTGTAATATCAAAAGTATAAACTTTTGACGGTTTCAGTGTTCCTTCAGTGGCCGAGCGGATTTTGACTTCCTCAGAGTCAACTTAAGTCAGTGCCTTGCAAACGTAAGGCTTATCTATCACTATCTCAGCTGCATCCACACTAACACATTCATCCTCGGTTGATGCATAATTGACAATAGGATTTTTGTAAATCGTCCCCTGAGATGGAGCTTTTGAAATCTTTTCCTCGCGGAGCAAATAATCATACTGCTCGACATGTTGGGCTAATTCGTACATATCCCGAAAGTTTGCCCCCAAGAATTTCTTTTTGTATTCGACGTCAAGACCATTCAGAGCTAGCCTGACGAATTCGACTTTGGGGAGAGGTACTCGGCACCAATTCCTGGCTGATTTGAATCTGGTAAGATAATCCATTGGTGACTCGTCGAACGCCTGAGCCATCCTTATTAGTGAGGATACTGACATTTCCATTCCCGGCCGATAAAACTGCTCATGAAATTTCTCGACCAACTCCTCCCAACTCTGGACGGAATTTGGTGGGAGGTTAATATACCAAGCAAACGCTGAACCAGTCAGCAAAAAATTGAAAAGTCGCAGCTTGTGAAAGTCACTATTGACGTCCCCGCATTGCGCGGTAAAATGAGCTACATGTTCTAACGATGATAAAGATGATTCTCCGGCAAAAAGGCTAAAATCCGGGATTTTAAAACCTCTAGGGTATTCGAACTGTTCCACATAAGCTGGATATGGGTGTATAAACTTAGGGAACTTCGGCCCTTTCTTCATGGCCGAATCGATCATCCGTTGGACCTCGGTCATATCGACGGGTGTTACTTCCACTCTCTAGTCGGATCCGTCTGACCTACTATTTGACCCTTCTCTTCTTTCCAAGTTGATTGGCCTGAGCCGAGCAGGAATTGGCTCGGCCGGTGCACTTGATAATAGATTATTCCTCGGCGGCAAATGTTGGGCAAAATCGAAAGTTCTACCATCGCTGACCTTGCTAACCAGTATTTCGAGTAATCTGGTTTGTGCTTCACTGGAATTGCGTATCACGTCATGAAGTTTATCGATTCCTCGACTCAATGTCTGTTCAACCGTCCGAGATTGCTCGTCAAGCCGTTTTCGAATAAACGACCTTGTGGGCGGATCGGATCCTTCTCCACCATCTTCATCACAATCTTCCATTACTCCTTCATTGAGAATGCAAGTGTTCCTGTCGGGAATTTCAAGACTGCGAACCAGATCGCCTAGATTAACTTCCCTTTCTAGGCGAGTTGCGCTTGTGGACTCAGGTGTCACGGCGCTGACGGGATTCTGCGCCTGTGGCACACTGTGTCCTACGTTCTGAATCAGTAAATCGACTGTTGATTTTCCCATAGCTGTTTTCTTTTTTACCGATCGCGTTTCAATTGGCATGAACTTCGTAGTTTAGCCCTAGGTCCCACTGGGCGTGCCAAAATGTTGACCCTAAAAACTACCAAGCCTATGTGGCGCGCATGCCGAGTAATCTATAAGCTAACTACGTCCTTCGGTGAATGCGGGGCGTGCCAACTCGTCGGCCGAGCTCGGCCAAGGAGTAAATTTTGTTGATGTTGCGTTGGGTGCGCGGCTGACTTCTGCGTCTTACGATTGCGGCCGAGAAAGGAACACGTCTCGGCCTCTTGGGCTCTCGAACCTGAAGACAAGGTTACTATTCTTACGAAGTTTAATATCAAATTCGGCTTTCAATGTGCCGAATGTAATAACTGTAACACCTCACTTTGCCGAGAAGGCTGATGAGATAACCTCGATCAATAAGGATTCAAAAATCCTTCTCGACCGAGACTTGGATAGGTAATCAACAGTCCTCGCCGTAGTGCTGTTGATGCCAACAGAAGATACTGCGAGACCGACTGATTCTACGATGACAGAGCTATCTATGCCGACTTAAGATATCACCGGTTGCTTCCACAGTGCTGTTGATGCCAACGGAAGATGTGTCAGCGAGAAAAGAAAAGAAAAAATCTCAAAGTTGTTGAAAAAGCTTGCGCAGGGCAGTTTTGTGTTGAATTGTAGGGGGCCTCAAATGATGCACGGCCTCTTCTATTTATAGCAACGGCTCCCCCCAAGGTCGAGTTAAAACCCCATTCGGTCTAGGACTTCTTCTCCCAATCAAACACTGACTCGACCAATCCTACTTCCATTATGACTGTGAACCTAGTCCTTTATTGAGTCGGATTCGCTCTCGGGTTATTAATCCTGCCGAGACTCCTTATTGCACCAGGACTTGACTTATCCTACGTCCTGATCTAGTCGACCTAGGTTTGGAGGCCCACGTACTGAACGATCCATGCCGCAAGGCCTTCCAGGCCGAGAATGATTCTCTACTTGGCCCAAACGTTATTTTGGGCCTAAACAATATGATATGAAAACAATTTTCACACACTGTTTTCTCTATCGGCATACTTTTGTTCTTTAGATTTTTAATTTAATAACTAAATGAGAATCAATGGACAAAAGTAAAGATGTGTGCATAAGGAGAAAAAAATATTTGTGAAATCACTTCTCATATTATTATTATGTATGTATAACATTAACATGTAAGTATAGTTACATTCTTTTCTACCTCGTTGATAAATTTGGGCATTGAACATCTGCCATTTACATCTATATATACAAAGTATTGTATCGTTCCCAGTATTCTCAAGAGAACCAAATCCTATTCTCTTAAAACTTCAAGAGTCTCAAACAACAAGGTAGACACACTTTAAAAGAAATCAATTGTATTGGCCTGAGGTGAAATCCCAAAATTTTGCTTAGTTACAATTTTGACCACCATATGGTTCGAAATTTTGCTGACAATTTAGCTAAATTGGAAAAAGACGATTAAGTGAGAAAAAGGGGCTGAAAGGCAAATAAAAAACTTGAAGAAGCTAATTGACAACATCAGATTCTAAGGGTGACGTCCAAATGGAAGCTGAGAGTAAACAACGAGACTTCCAACCTAAAACCAGCCGATGATTGGTCACCTCCTCCACCCTATAACCGTCATTAAAAAGACCCAACAAAAGTTTTGCTTGACAATGATTGGCAAAGCTTATTGGAATAGGCTTAAACCCTACCGCACCCAACCTCTCCCTCCAAGAGTGGCCAACTTCTCCATGGGCGCGGTAGATATGAGCCAATGACCCTACTATTCGAGGCCCCAAGAATACTCTCTCCACTAGAGCTCTAGCCCGGCTTTGCATTGGGAAGCCGGCCTCGAGTGAGTCATATACTGCCGAGTAATGGTACAATGAGTCCATGAAGCGGGCCACGAAGCCTCCATCCCATGTGGACCGTACATCTTCCTCGACCAAAGTGACTAGTCTCGGGCTAAGAGTCTTGGCTCCGGATAAAAACGAAGCAATTGAATCTGGAGACCGGTAACTAAAATGTGGGAGGTTTAGCATACAATTGATCACCAAGGTCTCCCCTTTTATCAACTTCAAGGCGGACGGTTGAAATGTCTCATCAGAACCCAACCTACATTGGTGAAAAGAAAATGGCTGACCAATTGACGCGGCAAATTCAGTCAAACGACGGCCGGTCTCTTGGACGGTCCCAATCGACTGCCTTCTGCTGCCGCCCCTCGACAAGGCGGTGATCCTAAGAAGTGGGGTAGGTGGTCCCTCCTTCCTGGAAACCAAGGCCTGCATCAAGGAAGCCCATTGGATACCCTCCATGATGTCATAATCTACGACGTGGATCCGCCTCTCATGGACCACGGCCTCTAAAATCGCCTGGTTGGCTGTGAAGTGCCCAAATTTAACGTAAGGCGACATGTCCTGGAGCAGTTGAAACGCTACGGTCACGTCCATTGGATGGTGGCCGTGATTGCGGTGCGCCCCACTCCCAATCAAATGCTTACCAAGCAAACCCCCGGTGCCTTCTAGCAAACCCTGGAGGGCCTCGGTATAATACGCCGCCAGCCTCTCCATGTTAGAACCGTCAGTTGGAGAGACCAACTCCTTGAGCCGAACCAATATCACCCGAGCCAGATCTCGGCTCTTGTATGCGCCCGTCAGCGCCTCCGCCGCCGCAATCAATAAATGGACCAGCCTCAACCCCTTCAAGTCCTCACCGTTAGCGCAGCCGTCTTCATCCGTCAACGTCATCATTTCTCCCAACGTCGTCGTATCGTTTGACGCTTCTAACTCTAGAGGCTCGTCCTGGGCCGACGACGAGTTCAGCTCAGTGCTGCCATCTTGGTCTTCCACCATCGACTCAATGAGCCCATGAAAGTCGTCTCCGGCGAGCTGGTCTATCGGTGCCAGCGCTTCCCAGTCGACCAGCGGAGACCAGGCGTACCAGTGATCGGTGGAAACGGTGTTGGTGCTTGTGGTTGTGGGGCTGCAGCCGGATAAATCAAGATCAGGGTCATCATGCCCATCAATGGCCATAGCCATAACTGAGTTCAACAGCAACTGGGTCATGCCAGTTGGGTTAATGAGTTAATGGGTTTCAGTTTTGGTGATGAAGTGGTGGTAGATTTACAGAGGGATCGGTGGAGGAGAAGGAGGTGGAACAAGAGACAGTATGTTAAGCTACTAATTAAGAGATTAATTATCGACTAATTTATGGGCTCATCTTAATCATCATGCCCGAGGTTGAGTTTGGTTTTATACACAGCCGATCCTAATCAGCATGATTACTGTTATATATTTAATTAACTTTACACTGTTGCCCCCTAAGTTTTAACATAATTTCAAACCTCAAACCACCTGCTTTCCAAAAAAAAAATAAAAAAACCCCTTAACCCACCTAATTAATTAGTTTAATTAATTTAAGTAATTTGTGTAACATTGACGTGGCAAGTAATGTGTACATGCCACATGAGTTAATGAATCTATATGATTGGATGTTGGTTGTATGCATCACTTATCATACGAGATGATACATTAATGTAGTTTTAAATGTGTTCTCCATAACATTACTCAATTAGGTTTGGGGTATATTTTTATGTTTGTGGGTTATTTTATTTTGGAGTAAACTGCCGATTTGCCCCCTGAACTATCACCTAACTTTCGATTTCTCCCCTGAACTTTTTAATTGGAAAATTAAGGACTTAAACTAATTTTTTTGGCCGATTTGCCCCATGCTGTTAATTTTTCATTCATTCCATTCAAATTTCTATTAAATGGAAGCATGTGCACAACATGTGTGGGTAATTCGGTCGCTTCATTCTTTAAAATAATTGAAAACCTTAGATTTCTATAATATAAACCTATGCAAATATGTGTGATTCTATAGCTTTTGTGTCTGAATGTCTAGTGAAGTAACGCTTTTGTTCACAAATGAGAGTTACGTGGTTTGCCCATGATAAGAGTTAACGTTAATTTGGATGAAATCTATTAAAAACTAACGGTAGGGGGAAATTGGCAGAAAAAAAAATTAGTTTAAGTCCTTAATTTTCCAATTAAAAAGTTCAGGGAGGAAATCGAAAGTTGGGTGATAGTTCAGGGGGCAAATCGGCAGTTTATATTAGCCATTGTGATTTGTCGATTGGTTATAACCACTATCACTCAAGTAGTTAGATGGTTAGAGAGTTAGTTACAAAGGGGTAGTATTGTAATAGTCCATGTGTGCTAAGAGGCTATATAACACATTGTAAAGACTTGTAATATTTTCATACAGTGAAATACAAAGCATTCCGAAACCCTTTTTCTTCTAAGCTTCTGCTCTCCTTATTTCATTTTTCCATAGTCATATTTCTCAAAGTTATCATGGTATCATCGCCGGATAGGTTCGTCGCCGCACCGATCCTTGGTGAATTTTCCGCTGCTCTGGAAGATTGAAGACGCTTTGTTGTCTGCAATTTCGAAGGTTTCGATTACGGAAGGCTATTGAAGTTGGGTGTGTCCTCCGATTGTTGAAATTAATTCAGGTGACATCTTTCTTTCGGTGGTTGAAGCTATTTTGATCATGGGTTTTGGTTTTTTGAGAGTCTTGAAGAAAGTGTTTGGTGTAAAATTTGAGAAATTTGATGATTGACTGTATAGTTGAATGTTCATAGGGTTTTGATGAAGAAATAATTGTGAAGTTAGAGTATTTGAGAAAGTGTTATTCTTTCTTGTTCATTTTGGAAAGTGTCAATCTTTCATGGTAAAGAGTTTCTGTCTCTTCGACAAGTGTTATTCTTTCTTGTTAATTTTGGAAAGTATCAATCTTTCTTGGTAAAGAGTTTCAGTCTCCTTGAAGTCTTGCAGTTTGTTTCAATTACAAAGAGTGTCAATCTCTTCCTTTTCATTACATATCTGGAGTTTTGTGTATCTGTGATCCAAGTCAAGATGAATAATCCGACTGTTAAAGTATAAAATTTGTTGGGGATGCTTACTATAAAATTGAAGGATGATAATTTGCCAAATGGGCATTTCAGTTTAAAGCTGTGTTGAAGGGTTATAAATTGTTTGGTCATTTCGATGGCACTGATGTGTGTCCACCAAAGTTTGTGTTGTCTACTGATCTTGGAGTTACTGAGGAAATTACTAAAGCGTATGTTGATTGGGAGTCAACTGATATGGCTTTGTTAAGTCTTTTGCTTGCAACGTTATTTGATGAAGCAATGTAGTATGTTCTTGGATGCAAGAATACTCATGAGGCTTGGGTGAATCTTGTAGATAGGTTTGCTTCTGTATCAAAATCAAGAGTGAATCATCTAAAGACTGAGTTGCATACTATACAAAAGGGAACTGACTCGATTGATAAGTATTTGCTGAGATTGAAAAACATTAGAGAGTAGTTGAGTGCTGCAGGGGTGTATGTCTCGAACAATGATGTTATCATTGCCGGATTGGCTGGGCTACCAAAAGACTATGCAATAATGAGAACTGTTATTCTTGCTAAAGAGTCATCAATTACTCTCAACGAGTTCATCGCACAACTTCTTGGTGCTGAAAAGGAAATTGATGGTGAAATTAATATGTTGTCTCAAAGTTTGTCAGCCTTGTATGTGAAAGGGACTGGTACTCATCCTGGATCTTCAATGGTCAATGGTTCTTCTTCTTATCCACAGAATCATACTCACATCCCTGCTTTTACTGGTGGTGTTTTATCACAGGTTCCTTATCCATTGTCATCACAGTTTCAGCCTAATATGCAGTTCTCTCAGTTTTATTCTACACAACAACCACATGATATATTTTATCCTCCTGCACCATACGGTTTTGGTTTCTTTGGAAATTCTGGTTCTCATTCAGATACAAGAAATCAAAGCTCAAATTCTGGTTTCAGATCTTTCAATGGCTCTACTTCTAAGGGTCAACACAATTACCGGTCCAATAATGGATACAAGAGGAAGAGTTTTCATTCTGGAGGATATAGGCAAAACTCAAATAACAATGGTTGGTCGGGAAACATAGACACAAGGATGAATGTAGTGATTGAATGCCAAATCTGCAACAAACGAGGTCATACAGCGGCAAATTGTTTTCATAGGAACAAAAACAATTCATTTCCTGGTTTTGTGATTGAGTGTCAAATTTGTGAAAAGAGGGGTCATGTTGCTTTTAACTGTTATCACCGAAGCAACTACTTCTATCAAAGTTAATCCCTTCCGTCTTCCATAACTGCGCTGAATGCACAACAATCATCCCATTTTATGCCTACTGATTCATGGATAGTGGATTCTGGTACTTCTCATCACATGACAGCTGATGTTAATGGCTTAGCACAGGTTGCTCAATATGAAGGAAATGAGATGATTACTATTGGTAATGATTCTAGTATATCGATCAAAAACACTGGTTCTACCACTTTTCATACAAAGGACAAATCCTTATTACTTACTCATGTTTTACATGTTCCAAAGATTGCTCGAAGTTTGTTATCTGTTAAACAAATATGTGCTGAAAACAACAATTGGTTTATTTGTGACAGGACAAAAAGACAAATGAGGTCTTGTATCACGGAAAGAGTAGGCCCAAGAAGTTGTTTCATATTCCAGTTTTTCTTAGTGCTAAAGGTGTGCAGTCTACATTTCCCACTACAACAGCTTTGCTTGGTCAATTGGTGAAGTCAAATAAGTGGCATAAAAGATTGGGTCATTCTACAAATGAAGTACTTTCTTGTATGTTAAGACAGTGTAGTATATCATAAAAACCAGATGATAAGCACAGTATTTGTACATCTTGTATTCAGGGAAAAATGTCTAGATTACCATTTCCTGCAAGAACTGAAAATGTTTGTCTCCATTTGATAAGATTCACTCTGATGTTTGGGGACTGTCTCCTATAAAGTTTGTAGATGGCTATAGGTATTATGTACTATTTACTGATGAATATACAAGATACACTTGGGTATTTCTAATGTGCAATAAATCTGATGTCTTCTCTATTTTTGTAAAGTTTTATCAGTTTGTATTAACCCAGTATGAAGTGTTAGTCAAGTGTTTACAAAGTTCTTAGATGATAAAGGGATTGCTCAGATGCTGTCATGTCCATATACCCCTCAGCAAAATGGAATTGCTGAGAGAAAACACCGACATATCATTGAAACTTCAATTACATTACTCACTAATGCTACTCTACTATTGGAGTTTTGGTATTTTGCTTGTGCACACTCAGTATTTCTTATCAATCGAATGCCATGCAAGTCTCTGTCTATGGTTTCTCCCTATACTCTGCTATACAAGAAACTTCCTGACTTAAAATTATTGAGGACATTTGGAACTGCTGTGTTTCCTTGGCTTAAGCCTTATAATTCTAATAAGCTTCAAACAAGATCAACATTGTGTGTCTTTCTCGGGTACTCTTCCGGATACAAAGGTGTAATATGTAATGATCTAGTGTCCAAGAAATGCATTATATCTCGACATGTCATACACGATGAGATGATGTTCCCTGGTAAACAAAGGTTACAACACCAAGTCAATGCACTGGTGGTTGATCAAAAGGCTACACATTCTCCCATTTTGGTTCATGTCCCTATTACTGAGACTTCTGGTACTCATGAAGTTAATCAGATACACAGTGAGAATGATAGAATTGCATCTTCTTCAGTTGATCAATCTGAGACGTCAAGTTCAAGCTCAGGGCATTCTCAAAGTCAAAGTACATCGGGCCATACTCTTTCCACGACAAGTGATACAACTCCTTTGCTTCCTATGTTGAGTACAGACCAACTCCAGGTAATACTTCTACTCTCTTTAAATTCATATCCATCAGGTATAGAACATACAACCACATCTACTCCTGTGCATCAAAGTTCTGGAATTCAAACAAGGCTACAAACAGGTGTACTTTCAAGAAAGAACTATCCAGCATATTCAGCAACTTTTCCTATGGATGATTTTTCCAGTGGGTTTTCATTCTTAGCGGATATCACTAATATAAAAATTTTAAAACTGCTAGTGTCAAGGCTAAATGGCAAAGAGCCATGCAAGATGAGTTTGATGCTTTAAAGGCACAAGGAACTTGGTGTTTAGTTCTTCCTCCAGTTGACAGAAGTATTGTTGGAAGCAAATGGGTATACAAAATTAAGAAGAACCCTGATGGATCAATTTCTAGGTATAAGGCTCGACTAGTTGCACAAGGGTATAGCTATGAGCAAGGTTTGGACTATTCTGAAACGTTTAGTCCTG